CCCGCCCCCCGCCCCGCTCCACCGCGCGCCCCAGCACCACCCTCTGCCCCCCCACCGCGCGCGTCTGCCCTTCCCATTGGTTGAGCCTCCCCGGGAGCTCCCCCCGCCACCGCCCGGCCCCTCGCTCCGCCCAGGAGCCCCGGACGCGCGTGCCCCGAAGAGGTAGGGGAGCCGTGGGGACAGGTGCGAGGGCCGGCCTGGAAGCAGCAAGGGAGGGGCTGCGGATCTCGCCCTCGCCCCGGGATCCGTAGGGCTTCGTAACCTGATCAGAAGGGGGAGAACCAGTCCCTTAGGATGGCCAGCCACGCCAAGGACCGGCCTAGGCACGCCGCTTGCTCCCAGTGCCCGTCTGTCGGTGGGGTAGTTGGGATGAGGACTGGGCGGACGGAGAGTGGAGAGATGGGAATGCGGAGGCAATCTGGAAGTTCCAGGCCAGCCGCGATCTGAGATAACGGTCGTGAGATTTAGAAGGGTACATAACCAGAACAGGGTCGCCCCCAACACACACACACACACACACACACACTCCACCCCCACCCACTCTGGGATTGCTCCGGGCTTCCCAGGTAGATGCACAGAGGGGCATTCTAACACGAGATCCAGTCTCCTGGCTGTGGCATGAAAGGCCCTCAAGCGCAAGATTCCAGTCTGGGGTTTCCAGTGTGTGAACGGCACGCCCCACGCGCCCCCACCCCCCCGCCTCCTCTGCACCCCCCTTCCCTCCCCTCCCCACCGCAACTCCAGACTGGCCTCCCAGACCCAATCCTCCGGCTGGACACGGACTCTAGGTTCGGTCGCGGGGAGGCAACCCAGCCCCGCGGAAACCCCTGGCCTTAGCAGCAGGCCCTTCCCCCCTCCAGCTGGCTCCTTCCAGCTGCAGCTCCCTTATTTAGGCAAGGAAGCCTGAGGATGATCAAGGGCAAGCAGGGTGTCTGCCGGCCGCCTGCCCACCGCCGCCTGGGTCTACATGAGGGACTTCCGGACGGCGATGCCTCTGGCCTGAGCAGCCAAACAGAGCCTACGGTAGCCAGGACTAGCAGACAAGTGTTGACAGCTGAGTGACTAGCGGAGGAGGAGTCAGCAGCTGAACAGCCCGGACCTGGGTACCCTCCCGCTGCCGCCGAGATCAGAGACCTGTCTAGAAGGACTGGGGCCATGTGCTGGCCGCTGAGGGCTTGCAGCTGCCTCTGTCCTTGAAGCAATGGGTGGGTCTTGTCACCAGGGAGACCCATCATGAAACATGGGGGTAGGGAAGGAACAAAGGACAGAGGGGGAACAAATTTTAAAAGCTGGATCTGAAAGGAGTAAGAAAGGCCCAGAAAGAGAGAGAGAGAGAGAGGTCTTGTTAAACCACCCTACTCCGACTCTGGCCTTCCAACCAAGAGCAAAGAGACTGAAACACTAGGGTCAAATGGACCCACTGACCGGCAGATGACATCCCCTTTTTCTTTGCTGGTGGGTGAGCAGTGACTCAGGAAGGCAGCCAGTGGGAGAGGAGGAGGTGGCTTTAAAAGATGCTAAAAAAGACCAGAGGCTCTCCTGCCTATACAGTCATCCTTTAGCTTCCCTCCACCCCAGCGGCTTCCTCACTCACACCCAAGATGCCCAGGGTCTCCAGCGCCAGAGGCTTCCCTCCCTTGCCAACTTCACTTCAGACATATCAACACTCCTGGCTACTGGGTAGAGCCCAGTCTGTGACTGCCTCAGCCTCCCCTTCCCACCGGAGATTCCTTGATTGCTGTGTTGCCTGTGATCAATCCAGGAAGATTTACATTTACTTGAAGTTTCCCGCCCCTCTTCAGCAGGGTATTGAACATAGAGAGGGCCTGCAGTGTTGAATGGGCATATGGGAAAAGAAATGGGAAGGGACATTTGGAATCGCCCCCCTTCTCTCTGGACCTGCCACCTGTGCTTCCATCAGCGTAATCCATGTGTGGGGACAGGGCTCTTTTCCCAAAGGGAGGACACTGAAGTTGGAGGGACCCTTAGGCTTCCCCAAAGAGAGGAGCCCGAACAAAAAGAAGAGGCTGCATTGACAGTGAAATACACATTGGCTCCTCCCAGCTCCGAGAAAAAGACAATTAAGAGAGGAAAAAAAGTCTGAGGAAAACATCCTGCCCATCCCACTCTGCTCTTGCTCAGCCTGAGGGAGTCAAGCCAGGACTCCCAGAGAGGAAAAAAATTGAAGCCCGCTCCTCCTGAAACCCCCAAGGAGCAGGCAAGGCAAAAAGCTGGCAGAAGCCAGATCATTAGAGCAAGTGACAATCACAGAGAACAGTCAGGTGAATGCAAGCGAGACAGCTTGTGGAGAAATGGTTCCTCAGAAAACCCAGGAGAGGAAGAAGCGGCAAAACACTCCCTTGGTGTTCAAGGGGAAATTTAGACTGCATGGCAGAATAGAGATGTTTTCTTTTCTCTATTGGAGGAGAAGAGGATCGAAAAACTGTTTTCCCTTCACATGTGGATGCTCAGGGTTTGTTGATAGGAGTAAAGGGATGGAGGGTGGAACCCCCTTCAAATCTGTAGTCAAGAATCTGACTCCCTGGCCTACAGCTCAGTAAGATGCCAGTGGTACTCTCCACCCCTGGCCCATAACCAAAGTCTTCTCCCACCAGTCCGGCACTCACCATTGATCAGACATTTTCCTTGGCTTGGCAGGGTCAAACGGAGCAAATAAGGCACGGAAGACTAGGATTCCAGATTCCTGACTCCTAATTCTGGTTCTGGTAATAGGAAAATCAACAAATGCTTACTGGGACCTCCTATGTGCTGGGCTCTGTGCCAAATGTGATAGGGGAACAGAAGGAATAAGCCAGTATCCCTCCTCCAGGGATTCACAGTTTAGTAGAGGCCAGAGAGAGGCAGTCGACAGGCAAAACCCAACAATCTGTGGTGTGTGCTGTGGGATTACAGTCCCGGCTAGAGAAATCTGGGTGAACCCTAGGAAGGAAGGAAGAAATGGTTGCAGAGCATTGCAAGTAAAGGGGACACGAGCCAAAGCGCAGAGATGGGAGGACAGAGAACATGTCAGGGGGAAACTGATGAGATGGCAGTGGAGCAATAGGCTGGAGCAATTGTAGAGAGTAGGTAAGAGCTCAGTTCCTAACCAAAAGGTTGACTGAAACCACCAGCTGCTCCACAGAAGAAGATGTGGCCATCTGTTTCCATAAAGATTGGTGGCCTTGGAAACCCTCTGAGCAATTCTACTCCGTGGCCACTCTGAGTCAGAGTCAATGCAATGGCAGTGGGTGGGGTTTGGGGTTTGGAGGAGTATGCACTTCATTCTGTATGCAAAGAGAGCACACTGAAGGGCCTGTGAGCACAGCTGAAATGTGCTTCCCATGTATGCAGAAGTTCTGTACAGACAGATCCCAGTGGGTATTCAATAAAAGTTTATTGAGTTAGTAAAATATGTACAATCGTTGGAGAAATTAAAGTAGACATGAAGTGTTATCTATTGTTACCTAATATCCATACCCCAGGTTGACAATAGTGTTTATTTTGCTCATAAGTCTGCAGTTTGGTAAGGGTTCGTGTCAGGATTGGATGCTGAAAGGTTCATTCACCCAGTTTTGGTGGTTGGGCTAGTTGTCATCTAGGACCTCAAATAGGGCTGTGTCCAGAACACCTCCCTGAAGTCTTTCCACGCAGCTGCACTGCTTCCTGATCTTATGGTGGCTGGGTTCCAAGGATCAGTGTCCAAGTAAAATACCAAACAGATGATGCTCGCCCTCATGAAGAGGTCACTGAAGATATGGGGGCTATAGCAAAGTGTGGTGAAGAAACCAGGTGATGTCTGGCTATCAGAAATAATTACATCTGGAGGTCTTAAAGGCTTGTCTTAACAAGTAGCTATCTAAGTGAGACATCAACTAAGTACGCATGGAAGAACACCAGTCTGTGGGATCCAAGGAGCGTGAATTTTAAAAACCCAAATCTGAATGAGGGAATGGCATCAGAGCATAAATTGTGAATCCCTGATTTGCAGAAGGCTATGGATGACAGTGGAAGCCCAAAATCCATTTGCAGTAATCCTCCAGTGAGTCCCCTCTGATCATATTCAGGGGGTGTGAATAGCTGTGCTATCAGACAGAAAGCATTGTAAAGTTGATTGTGGCAGATGTAGTTAGGTTAAAATATAATCCCTTATCATTTGATCTCCTTTTGAACCATTTTAAAGTTGTTTTGGTTTTTAATGTTTTATGCTTTCTTTTTGGCTGGGACTTTTGTATGTTTTCTCTGTTTCTATGTTTTGTTGGGACTTGTTTGTTCATGTTTTTGTTTTGTATGATTTTCTGTATATGCAATCCAGGATGGTAGATTGATAGACAGTAACCGGATTGATAATTGCCTAGGGGCATGGCAGGAGAGGATTGGAGGGAATGCAGACCTGGCAACAATGAGGATGAGAAAAAAATGTTCTGGAGTTGACTATGGTAATGATTGCACAAATCCTAATACTGGATGCTTAAATTGTATGACATGGGGAATATATGCCAATAAAATATTTTTATTAAAATATTTTTAAGACCAAGCAGAAGTTGCATCACTTGTGATGACCGCAAAATCACATCCCCAGCAATGAAAAATAGAGGCACATTTAGGGTCCCCAATCCATAGCATAAGCACACTATCAAACATAATGAAAAACACACAGAGCAGAGAGCAGAATAGATGATTGGGATCCCCTAAACATAAAAAACGTATTGCATCAAAAGATTTCGACAAATGAGTAAGAAAAGAACCCACAGACTGGGGGGAAATGTTTTGGCAATAACAAGTAACTCTAAAACCTTAGAAAACTCCAACAACTCAATGAGAAAAAGATGAGTCATCCTATCTTAAGATATGCCGATCTAAACAGCTCACCAAGAAATCATTCAGTTGGCCAACAAATGTTAAAAAATGCTTGTGGTCACTACTACCCTTCCAAAAGAGATAAATCAAAACAATGATGCGATGCCACCTCAAACCAGAAGTAATATCAAAGCAAAAAAAAAAAAGCTGGAGAAGTTACAGAGAGAATGTAAACCTCATACACTGCTGGTGGGGACTGTAAAATAATGTATCAAATCATATGAAGCAGTATGGCACGTTCTCAAGCAATTGGAAGGAGAAATATTCTATGATCCGGCGATTGCACTACTTGGCATATACCCCACAGAACATGGCATGAACAGACACCCATGTTCTTTGCAGCCCTATTCACAAGAGGAAGAAGCTGGAAACAACCTAAATGCCCAGGGGTGTAAAATGGATAGTAAATTTTGATACATACACACACACAATGGGATACTATACATCATTAAAGAATAAGACTGGGAGGGTAGAGGGAGAGTGGGTTGGAAAGAGGGAACCGATTACAAGGAACTATATGTGACCTCCCTGGGGGATGGACAACCGAAAAGTGGGTGAAGGGAGACGTCGGACCAGGCAAGATATGACAAAATAATAATTTATAAATTATCAAGGGCTCATGAGGGAGGGGGCAGCGGGGAGGGAGGGGGAAAATGAGAACCTAATTCCGGGGGCTTAAGTGGAGAGGAAATGTTTTGAGAATGATGAGGGCAATGAATGTACAAATGCGCTTTACACAATTGATGTATGTATGGATTGTGATAAGAGTTGTATGAGCCCCTAAGAAAATGATTTTTTTTAAAAAGAATAAGAACAAAATTGTGAAAGATCTCATGATGTGAATGGATTTGGAGGACACGATGCTGAATGAAGTTAACAAACCATGAAAGGACAAACACTGTATGAGACCACTATTATAAAAAATATCAAGAAAAGGTTTTCATACCAAAAGAACAGACTTTGATGGTTACTAAGAGTAGGAGGGGAAAGGAGAAAAGGGAAAACATTAGGCTAGGGTAGACAGGTGTTAACTTGGGTGAAGGGAAAGATAATGTCATACAAGAAGGAGATGGGGGAAGGAAACGGGGCAAGTTACTGGAAGGTTTGATGCATTTTTAAGTTGAGTGCAAAAGAAAATGATGACCTGATATGTAAACCCCCCACCTAATTTACAATAAAAAGTTTGAAACAAACAAAAATGTCACACCCACAATGGATGGATGTATGGATTGTGATAAGAGTTGTACGAGCCCCCAATAAAATGATTTTTTTTAAATGTCACACCAAAAAAATTCTGCCATAATCATGCTCAACCAGTTCCAAGGAAACTGAACATAGACCCCTGCCTCTCAGCAGAAGAGTGTCGCTATCATATTGTAAGATAAGTACATCTGATGGAATATATTGGCACGACCATCTTTGAAAAGTACAGTCTGTCCCTTGAAGCTATTCAACAGTCCGAGTGAGAGATGCTGAAGACTTAAACCAGGTCAGAGGTGATCAAAAGGGGCCTATTTGTTGTCTAACTTTAAGAACATCACCTAATCTCATTTTCCTTACTTATAAAATGAGAAAATCAAATCAAATGAGAAAATCAAACAAGCCAATCTCTAAACTCCCTTCCAGCTCCAGCAAGGAGTGACCCCTGAACTCTACATAATCACACTCCCCACCCATCAATGGTTCCTCCGTCACCCCTCAATATTCATCTTCATCTCCACCTCCTGCCTCTTCTCTCCCATTCTGGGTGTGTTTAGGACTAATAAGTACTCTATTCCACATATTTCTTTTCCAGCGAGGTAGGAGACCCTAAAGGATAGGTGAAAAGACCCTCAGGAAAAGAATAATCATTCAAAGAGCATTTATTAATCACCTTATGTGTGCTCATCACTGAAACACGTGATGCAACCCCCATCTACAAGGAGTTCATTGTCTAACTGGAGAGAGGAGCTAATGGATACAAAATAGCACTGAAACAAGCTTGATTGACACCGACAACGACAACATGTGCAGGGGAGTTCAGAGGAGAGGGCTCTGTGTGGACTGAGACGGCCAGAAGGGCTTCGTGGGGAAGCTAGGACATCCTAGATCAGGGGTCCTCAAACTTTTTAAACAGGGGGCCAGTTCACTGTCCCTCAGACCCGTTGGAGGGCAGGACTATAGTTTAAAAAAAACTATGAACAAATTCCTATGCAGCCTGCACATATCTTATTTTTAAGTAATAAAACAAATGGGACAAAAACACCCGGGGGGGCTGGATAAATGTCCTCACCGGGCCGCATGTGGCCCGCGGGCTGTAGTTTGAGGACGCCTGTCCTAGATGGTGTTCATTTTCCCAGGCACAGAGGAGGGGGCCGAACATCTTCTTTTATTTTTTCCAGACTGCATCCACTCCCTCTCACGCTGCACAAAGGCAGAGAAGAACAATCAGCCATGGCAAATGGCAGCTGCAGTAAAGCAAGCACCCAGAGCTGGCTTCCTGCTCAGGAGAGAATGCCGCACCTCCTCCTTGTGGTGTTCAGTGGGCTACACAATCAGAGAAACTTCTCTAGTAGCGAACTACAGAAATGATCCCTGAAAGTAGAGTCTTCGTGAAGCAAGAGCCAAACAGAGGTCAGGTATGGGGTCCTCCCACCAACCTCTACTTACTCCCAAAAGAGAAAGAGGAGAGGCCCGTTTGTTTCCTTTGCCTGGCACTTCACAACCATCTGTCCCTTTGATGGAGGAATGGGTCTCAGTGGTCCAGACACAAGAAGGGGCTTCAAGTGAGGACCCAGAACGAAACAAATAGTAGAATCTCCACATAAGAGAGGATGGTGGGGAGGGGGGATCTGATTATAAGAAGGACTAGAAGACATTTACTAGATTTACTGAACTCCTACGATGAACTTGACATTAAAAGCAATAAAAATCGAGGCCT